ACATGATGCACAATGACTTTCCCTAAACTGAAATGGGAGGCGTTTAACAAACAATAATGTTAAACCATTTATCGACATCTCAACTAACACTTATTAAAAAGTTGACATTTAGGATCACTAGTATTAAAAAGACACACTGTCTTAATTGTATAATCTGAAAATTATACTCATAATTTGAGTAGTACTTTCGCAAACTTCAGGTTGCGAACATCATACAATCATCTAATATTTGTATCAAATCTATTAGATACAAATAATATTTAGATGGTCAACGTGGAAGATGATGGGACCCCATATATCACCCTAATTAATTTTCAAAAATATAGGAAATTCAATCCTTATTTAACTAATAACAATCAATGACCAATTTTCAATAGAGAAAACAAATATCAAATATGAATTCTGTGGATTGAAGAATCTTCTGGTTCTTCGTTGAATATCCATTTGAATTTTTAATTTCGTATCATTAGTGATCTAGTGATGGTCAAACTAATTGTGCCAAACAAAAATCAAATTGATTTCTGGTTCAATATAAAATATAATTCAACTATTTAATTTCGATATAAAATGAATTGATGAATTGATCAACATGCAATAGTAAGAAAATAATAATTCTTTGTCAATCGACCCAAACCCTTTGACTAATAAATAAAGCATGAATTAATGTGTGCAAACACAAGGCAAAGAAGAAGAGCCTTTGGTGGAGGCAGTGGTGCAAAGACACCATTGATTTCGGATTAACGTAAGCCACGAAACACGATGCTCACATAAAACAATAGTGCTAATTGATAGAATTTGTGTAATTTAACAGAATCTATGTACTTGCTTAATAGAAAACAATAGTTGCAGTCTTGCAGAATGAAAAATATATTGGGTACATGAAGCTAAGGCACAAGTACATACAAATTGATTATGCTTAAAAAAATCGACAGAATTGTTTGGCAAACGAGATATGTATATATAAAAAATTTACTTATCGCCAAATTAATTTGATATACTTGATAAATGATTATGCTTAAAAAAAATTACTACATTCACTGAACTTTGAAAAATTGAGCTTTCGTGCTGATAACGTGTTGTGAAAAGAGAGAATACAAGTCTATTGATTTGTATGTATTATAATGAGAACCAAATCCCTATATTTATATGGAATGATTAGAGATACATATGACAATAATTTATAGGGTTGCAGGGGTACAATAGTCATTCATTAATAACTTATTATTTACAATACATATAATTGTAAATTATACTTATAAGTAAGATTTGTTTATAATATTTAATTTGGGAATAATTCATGGATCAGATTTTAACTATGACCAAATCAATTTTCAGGCCTTAAGTTTCAAAATTGCAAAAATCAGGTATTAATTAATTAATTATATTTTATTAATTAAATAAATTAAAACCACAATTATACAATTCATGATCACGTATACATACTTATGGGTCACAATTTATTTATTGATCACATTTTATCAAATTAATTGGTCACAAATTATTTTTCGATCACAAATCATAAAATTTACAATTCATAAATCATTTTACAGTCACAGATTAAAATTTTCATAGGTCACAAATCAAAAAATTAATAGGTCACAGGTCACAAATCTCAAATATTATGAGTCACAACTTATTCGTCTCACGAATTATTAAATGATCGATCACAAATTAATAATTTTTTCGGTCACATATTGTTTATTGGTCACAAATTAACCAATTTAATGATTACAGTCGACCAAATAATTGGTGACCACCACCAACACTTGCGACCTCCAGCAGCACCACCACCCCACCACCCCAACCACCAACAAACCACCAATTTCACTACAAAACCACCACCACCACACAAAACACCATACCACCCCGACCTCCAGATCCACCACTACAGCCACCGCTACAAAAATCGTCAGATCCACCACCACAAAACCCTCCACCACACCCTACCACAAATAATTGGTCACAAATAGCCAAATAGATAGTCATAAACACTTTCATCCGACCCTCACCTCCACCCCAACCACCACACCACCAACACAATCAAATATCTAGCAACATCACTGCCACCGCCACCGCACCGCCTCACAATTTGAAACTCAAAATCTGAAACTTCACAATCTGAAACTCACAAACGGAAACAGAAATAGAAACCAAACATCGATACCACCTCACCATCTTACAATCTGAAATTCACAGACAGAAATAGAAACAAAAACCAAAACACCGGCCGAGCAACGGAAACTCACGATCTCAAAGCGTCGCTGTGCTGCGCTCAAATTAGTGTTTTACAATAGCGTGACTTTTCTATGTAGCACAGTAAAGAGAGAGATGAGAGAGCGAGGCGACGTGCGCAGCAAAGAGAGAGACGGGAGATGGAAAACTGGAGATTGTAGAGCGGCGTGGCTTCACAACGAAGAGCGCTGCATGACGACGGGGCTTAGAGGTAGTCTCTGGTAGCGACATTGATCCATGTGTGAGGGAGAATGTAGAGAGAAACGGGACACGAAGAGAAAACGGAAGGGGAAGGGAAGGGATAAAATGATTTAGGTTTGGATGTGAGGGTTTTAATTATAAATTCAATTAAAACTTAATTTTTGATTAAATAAACTTAAAATTTGATTTTTGAATTTGAAAAATTAAATGCCTGTTTTTCTGTAATTTCCTCATTTAATTTTAAGTAAATATTTCACTTCTAAGCTAAAAATTAACTTACATATAAAAAAAAATACTTATTTATAAAATATCATATATGAGTAAAAAAAAGTTCATACAATAAATTATAATTAAAAATTTCACTAGGAAAAAATATTGAAAGTCATCATTTAAGAAGTATTCAACGAAAAAGAGTTTAAATGTACTTATTCATGGAAAAGGTCTTCAATTTTGACATTTGGACACTCACATCTACATTTCTTTGCACAAAAGGCCTTTACCTTTTATTTTATCAATTAAAGTATTGTAAAATAACTCATTCACCACCTCATTTAAATAAACAAGTAGAAAAGAAAGAAATAATATGAAAATTTGTATCTAGAGTTCCAAATTAAAAAAAATACAAATAGGTCTTACGTAAAATAATTTAAAATATTATAAAAAATGAAAAATATTTTATCTTCCCAATTAACCACCCGCTTGTCCCTATCTCTACCAACCACCACCACCACCACCAAAATAATTAAAAGTATAAAAAAAAGTAAGAAAAGAATTAAAAGAAGAAAAAAAAATGGTATTTCTTCCTTATCCAATTTAACACTCCTGCCATCGGTCGTCACCGTCACTGGAGGACCCAGGGGGGTCCCGGGGGGCACGTGCCCCCAACTTTTAAGATTTTTTTTTAAAGTTATGTTTGGTATTGATTGAAATCTAAATTTTAATTTAAATCAAAATTAACAATTAATTTTAATAACATATTTTATGAAATCCATAACTGTTTTAACTTTTATCAAAATTTATTAAAAATTTAAGTTTTATATCCATCAAACATGGGCAAAATTACAATGAATTTGAATTTTGATAACATGCTAATTTTAAAAATTATTTGACGATCGTACGCTAATCGAAGAGAACTACATTATGAGCATATAGAATAGTTCAAAAAGATATCGAAAATAGTTAAAAATACGTTAAACGTGAGTTTTAAAGCAAGACGTCTAACTCGCATTTTTAAAAAAATTTAATTATTTCATTAACATTTATTATTTTTGCGATACAAATTTCTCAATGTAATTTTCATCATTTTATTAGGAAATTTTATATGGAATATAATATCAAAAAATTTCGAAATTTTACATCCGAAAAAGTTATATCCCATATAAATTTTTGGATGCAAAATTATATGGGGTATGAATTTTTTTGGACGTAAATTTTCGATTGTAAAAGTTCTCCCAACTTCTTTGCAAGTTCGATTGTACCCCCAACTTTAAAGCTCTGTGTCCGCCCCAGGTCACCGTTACCGCCACCGCCTATTCTCTTTATCCCACTGTGACACCATCCAAGAATTTAGCTATTTTTCTATAATCAAGTTTTGCATTCCAATATCTTTTTGTTTTCGACGAAATTACAAATTTAACTATTTTCAACAGATTCTTGTTTCTATATTCTTGTTGCTAATTACACATATATATACATATATACTCACAACATCATCTTTTGAATTTTGTTATGGTTTTGTTCAAGAATAGATAAATTCCTATATACGAAGCAAAATAAATTTGGATGAGGAATAAGCACCATTTTATTTTTATTTTAATTATTTTTTAATACTTTTATTCTCTTTATTTTGGGGCGGTGATGGTGGTTGTGGAGGGTAGGGGATGGGCGTAGGTTTATGTTGGTTAATTGGGAAGAGAAAATATTTTCTTTTATTAGAATAATTTATATTATTTTATTTGATACTCGTTTGTACTTTTTTGAAAAATTGAAACTTTAGATGCAATTTTTTTTTTATATTATATCTTTCTTTTCTATTTGTTTAATGTTTTAATGGAGATAATGGATGGTAAGGATCTTTTGCGGAAAAAATTTCGATTTGAGTGTCCGAATGTCAAAATTTAAATGATATGAATGATTTATACAACGAAGGCAAATAATTAAAAAAAAAATTGTGCCAATTGACATATTTCAAGGAACTAGTTAACGAAACATAGCGAAAATGATCAACTCTGCAATAAATGTTTGAAATAAAAGTGTAAATGCCAAGTCTTTTTTTCTTTTTTGCTAATTACCCCGAAACAACTCGAATTACCCTAAAACTCGAAACCGAACCCTGAAAAAAATTCCAAAACCCGTCTCCAGAGTTCCGAAGTCCCAAGCAGGCCTAAGTTTAGTGCTCGTTCGTTGATTTAACCCAAAACTCCCCAAACTTTTCTTCCACACACTGCCAGGAATAATAATAATAATAATAATAGACCAAAATAAGCAAAAACCCTCAAAGTAGAACCCGCAGAGATTCGCTCATCAATATATACCGTATATCATAAGCTCCCTATAAGCATCGGAAAATGGCAACATCGGCATCCACATCAGCAAGTGTGCCGGAGAGAAGAGGAATTCCGGCGGCGTCGTTCGTGGAAGACGTCCAGATTTACCTTTCTCAAACCGGTCTAGATGTCAATTCAGCTCTCGCTTTCCTGCAAGAAAGGTTTTCCGTCTTTACTATCTCCCTGTGTGCAGTGTGTGTAAGAGAG